TCAAATTCATAATCTATCATCTGCCTACTTACTAAAGACCAGAGAGACGTATCTGCAGAGCAGTTCCCAGTATGTTAAGCTCCTTGAGGCATTAGACCTCATGATTAACTCCATATTGTTTAGCACTTGATTGTTTTTATAAGGGTGGTTAATAAAACAGACAAACTGCAAAACCCGAGCTGGGCTCAGTGCCTAGTGTTCTGCTTGCTGTTAGAAGCCCATCTTCGTCAGCAAATGCCACTAGGTGATTCTGAGTGTTACAGTTCAAAAACAGCTTCTGAGTCAGCAAGCCAAGTTTGTACAATTTTAAAAAAATGATCTTTGCCAGATGTTTTGATACTAAAATGAGAAATAGTGAGAGTGTTAAGAACAAACAAGAATGGCCAGTGTGTTGTACAAGAAAGTGTCTCACAGAAGCAGTAAAACCCCACAGACCCGTACTGAGATGTGTGCAGGGGCCAAAGAGACCCAGCTGAGAGGTACCCAGCAGCATGAGCTTTGCCTGCACACCCTCCTTGTCTGAGCTCTACAGCCTACAACCTCTTTCAGGGTGCACTCGGGTTACCACTTCCACCTGTTGCTGGTTCCAGATCAGTAGAACTCAGCACAATGACTTTCATGAAACCAAGATGCTTGGTCTTAGTGTCCACAATGGCAAAGACTGCCCAAAAGTAACTGATTTTCTTGTCATGAAGGTCAGATGTCACACTGTAAATACATCACTGGTTCTCATGCCATGACTGCACTGATTCTGAGGTGGTTTTGCCTGTTGGTTAAGTGTCCTAAAATTGTTCATTAGCCATTTTACCTGTCCCTCCTGACTTTATTCAGAATGATGCAAGTTGAAAACATAATTGGTTACTGCCCAAAAGTAACTGATTTTCTTGTCATGAAGGTCAGATGTCACACTGTAAATACATCACTGGTTCTCATGCCATGACTGCACTGATTCTGAGGTGGAGTCTGTTGGTTAAGTGTCCTAAAATTGTTCATTAGCCATTTTACCTGTCCCTCCTGACTTTATTCAGAATGATGCAAGTTGAAAACATAATTGGTTGTAGCAAGGCCTGGGTCCTAAAGCCCTTCCTCAAGTAAGTCACCCTACAATGCCATTTCCCAAAAGGCAAGTTTGCTCGTGGCCAGTTACTGCTTTTCACTCTCTGCACATAAACGCTTTTACAGCAGTTACCACTATTTCTAACACGAGGAACTGCTTATGGAATTTGTCTCAGTTACTCAAGGGATTAGTTGCAGATAACTGATGCTCTTCCACTCCATATCCAAGTAAGCGTAAAGCATCTCAGGACCAAGGTTTTATAGCAATCCAGGAAGGAATAGTTGTAAACAGAAAAAAGCTTGTTTGTAAAACCTGAAAGATTTCTTTAGCCAGGTTCAACCTTTAAAGCTACTTAGAGAGCAAGTTCAAATCTGTATCAAGTCACATCAAGCCTAGATTGCACACCTTAGCCCCCTGCCATTCTGTAGTGCTGATGTTGGCAATAAATCAGTGCTCTCCATATTGCCAACTCATGGTCTTATCTTGATGGCACCCAAATTGCAGGTAAATGTAAGAACTGTGACCTATCAACTTCTACACTGAAGGCTGAGCCCTTAGAGAATAAATGGCAACCCCAGAAACAAAGGCACCTCCTTTTTGATTGATGCTGTAGCTTCATTACTCTATATGGTTTATATTGCTTCCACTGGTGTGCTCTGAATGCCAGAAAGAAAAGCTCAGATTGAAACCCAGTTAATTAAAAGGATTCACACAGATGGTTTGCCTGGTACTTTACAGAGGCACCTAATTAAAGCAATATTAGTCAGCACCATTAAAATGCCAGATAAAGCTTTGGGAACAATCCTGATTAGGAAGCAAGGTTTACAAATAGAGCTTCGAGCAATGCAGTATATTTGCAGTTAATTAATCTAATTCTAACATATCTTAACTAAAGCACATCTTAACTAAGTGCATGCTGATAGCAATATTAATGCCAAGATTTTTCAAAGGTCAAACCTGGCACTTATTAAAACAATCCACAATGACTCTAATTTCACATTCTACAGGAGAATATGATATCATGAGGGAGTCTGAACTCCTAATTAGCTATGATTTGAAGAGCACTAGAAAAGAAACCAAGGCAAGTCCTCGCTGTAGAGTCAGTCACACACTAGCAAAGGGAGAGAGGGAAGCTGCACCAGACAGCAGTTATATTTAGCCATGCAATATAAACAAAGCTTCCTTGCAGTTTCAGACAGATGCTGGGTTTGGAGAGGATCTGTCACACTCTCCAATATCCTGTCTCTGATGTCTGACTGTATATATTTTTTTGCCATAACAGTAATGTGGTCTTAATCTGAAAACTTCTTTTAAGCCTGATTTTACGCAAACAAACAGCCCCATTCACTTAATGTGCTAAAAGATAACCATATGCACAGGTATGTGCAGTATAGGACCTAAACCATGGTCTTATTCCCTGTACTTGAAGTTGATTTTTCTTATAACTCTTTCATAGAATCATAGAATCATCAAATAAGACTTCAAAGCAGCAATAGAATTTCACCCCATATTCTAAAGATAGGCAGATGGATTTATGCTTTGGGATGAATATTATATATCTAGTTATAGGACTAACTTCCATGATAACTGAAAAGAAATGCGGATGAAAACAATGACCTACTGCAATTCTCTACTGTCACTTTCCAAGCAATAAAAATCTCACCATCCTCCTTCCCTTGTTTAGAAGCCACAGTTCAAAGGCACTCAGTGATTTCATAGGGATCTAAGCAATGTGGCTTATACCAAGATAAATGTGCAGCAAAATTTACTCTCTTCATCCACTGCCCTGAAGAGTCACGATGAGCCAATAAGTACTGGTCTTGGCAAATATCAGACCAGGAGCAAAGCACTGCTTCTGGCCAGGCACCCCACGTGGGCACAGCAGTGTCCTCCAAAGGCTGCATGAGCAGGGCTTTGTACCTAGACAAGAACCAGCTGCATTCACCCTTCATTTCTCCTTTCACTTTCCTTTCCAGTTCTGCTGCTCTTCCAGTTGCCCAAGGGGCAAGGGGATAACTAAGGGTTTGGCAGTCTTTCTGCTTTCCATGAGATGACTTTTGGAAAGCCCAAAACTATGGTGACATGAGTTTTGGGAGGTAGCACAGTCCTGAGAAGTGCCTCTTCATTCATGTTTTCCAGTATTTGTGCCTAATGGGAGAGTAGCTGAATTTGTCACTTGAATCTTCTGCTGATGACTTTCCAAGGATGTGTCCTAATTAGAGCACAATCCAGCATGTGTGTTACTAGCACACCATACAGAAGGTGCTGGAAGCACTGTATTTCTGTGCCAAGCACAAGTGGTGTCAAAGCTTAGTGCTGTTATAAGATTTTGGAAAGGTATCACTAGACACCCTTGATTGCACTGAAACAATGATGTATTTGGTGCTTCAAAGGAGGAATTACAAATTGCTTGTCTGTCTCCTGAAAAGAACTGAGATGTCAGGCAAGGAGCCCTAAATGGCTAACTTCTACTGTTCTTCAGCAGAATGTTCTTTGCTGACCCACTAGACTCCCAAGTACTGTAGTACGAGTATGTTCCTCAGCCAGATTTGATATTCACCATTCAAAATACTACTAATATTTGGTGGACCAGTGTAACTAAATATATGCCTCTAAATGTCAGTGTTTAATGCCAGTGCATGCCAGCAGAAAACTGCTCTTTCACTTGAGCTCCCAACTGAAAAATGTGCATTCTGTGGTGGCACAGTTTCACAGAAAAATCTCCCCAGGTTTATCTGATAGATAATGAAAGGGGCTACAGCAAAACCTGAGTTCTCAGGTCAGGTTTGTCTTACATGAAAGCTCAAGCCCACTGAATGAAATTTCAGCTGCATTCCTAGAAATTTGCAGTGATTTGGGCTCCAGAGAACAAACGCTTCACTGTTATGTCCATAGAGCTCTTGTTCAACATGTCTTTTACCATGCTGAGATGCTAAATCCATGTGGATGTAAATGTATAGTGCCAGATTTGGTGCCCAACAGGTATCAAGTGACTTACCTTTCATAGGTGAAGTATAATCCCTTTGCACAGTCCATCAACTGCTAATAGTTAAACAATCGAGGGGATGTTTTACCATCAGGTATGGGTAGCTTTATGTCTTGGAAGAAAATTTAACCCATGTGGTGCAGAACCCAGTGTGATCTTCAGTTGGAACAGGTTTCAGGGTTGACTTGGCACTGCCATCTTGTGCTATTTGTCATGGGCTCCGAGTTCTGCAAACCAAATGCACTCATTGCACACCTGGCAGAAAAGTCAGCTTTTGGGTGGCTTTTGAAGTCTGCCTTGGACAAGTTTTGCCCATTTTTGAAAACAACAGCAGTACTGAATTGTGAACTAGCACTTGCATAGCACATAGTTTTCTCTTGAGATGGTTCTATCATCAGGATCACTGCTCCTCTAGCAGCAGGTTTGTGCCTGTGGGTGGCATGGAACCATGCACGCCCTGTGCCATGACCTGCTAACCTGCAGCTAAGTCTTTTGTGGGCTACAACACTACAAATCTAAATCACTGATAAAATGATACCAGCACTAAGAAGGGGGGAACCACACTACAACAGTGATACTGATAGTGGATTCTGTGTGCAGACAGGCCATTAAAGCATGGGAGGGCTACGTAAATATGATGAGTGGGCACACAAGTGCACCAGTCTATCCTAATACCAAATCCTACAGCAGACAGAGCAAGAGGAAAGAAGGGAGCATGAGACATGGCCATCAGGGCTGGCATTGCAGTTGATCACCAACATCCTAAGATTAACTGGGGCACTCAACTCAAACTGAGAATTATTGAAGTTCAGCAAAATAGCAGCATGAGAATATCACTTTGTAGCATGACAGAACTCATCCTTTTATGATCAAAAGAAATGATCTTCCTCCCCTCTGTTTGTGATACTGACTTGTCAAGAACATCTAAGTGATGTGTCCCTCTCTCACTGCTTGCAGAAGACTCCCTCTTCTCAGTCAGCAGCAAGATCACCGGGAAGTCCTGTGAATACAATGGCACCACCTACCATCACGGTGAAATGTTTGTGGCAGAGGGGCTTTTCCAAAACAGGCAAGCAAACCAGTGTGCCCAGTGCAGCTGCTCAGTAAGTAACACGATTTGACAGAGCTCTGCTCTGCCTATGCTTCATTTCTCCTCTCTAGAAGACATGACACTGAAATACAAGCAATACACAGCAAAGGCTGGGAATTGAGAATTAATGCTGAAACTCGTGAGAGCGCTCAGAGCCAGTCTGCACCACCTGGAAGATGCCAAGGTACCTCTTGACCAGACACACTGGACAAAGGTTACCCTGTCAGGCATCTGCTCTAAGTGAGCTTACGGTGCAGAGGCATAAAACTCCACAATATTGGTGCTTGACATCTATGGAAAATTTCACTCAATCTGACTGGAAAACAGAGCACTCAGCCACTGACTGAAACTGAATTCATTTGGACTGAGCTGATAAGAAAAGTGCCCACAGGCTGGCTGTGGAGAGCTCTGAAAACTGGCATTGGGCCACAGAGCCATTCCTGAGATGTCACCAATTCAAATCCAGTGTATTTGAGCAGTCACCCAGTGAGTTTTCAGAGCCAGTGTCTGAACCAAAACATCCCTCTCAGTCCCCCCAGCTCTCCAGTATCAAGTAGTGGCAACTCCAGACCTCTGATCAAATCGTCATCATTTTACATTAACTACAGATTTAACAGGCCAAGTATTGATCAGACTTTGTGACTTTTACTTACTGCTAATCTATTCCTCCAGTTCCATGCTAAGACACAACACAGGGAGAGCAGGGGGTTTAATTGATATTGTGAGATTTTAACACCAACAATATCAGGTACATTTTCAGCCTGCAATAATTGCAGTTCTTCTCCTCACACACTATTCCCATTTCCTTGTTTCTTTTAAAGAAAGGGAACTTCCTCTGTGTAACAACGATTCTTTAAAAAGCTATTCAGCCTTTTTGTTGGTCTAATATTCTGCCTTCACATACTAGAGTGTCATTTATATAAACACATGCCATAGATTTAAGCATGTCCATAAAAAATGCATATACAGTACCAGACAAATCAGTGACTTCTTAACTCTCCTTGTGTTTGACTGGCAGGAAGGAAATGTGTACTGTGGGTTGAAGACTTGTCCCAAATTAACTTGCTCTTTCCCAGTTTCTGTTCCGGAGTCCTGCTGTCCAGTTTGCAGAGGTAAGTCTGACTACCAGCACAGGACAGGCTCTGAATTTACTCCTTCCCCTGTCAGAGCCCTGTCACTATCTGCAAGCTTCCCATGTACCTACAATCCAATGCATGGTGGGAAATTAAACCTTCAATTCCAGCAGGGTAGCATCACTACCTTTGTTTTCCTAAATTGAAACAGAGAGAGAATGCACTGATGATAAAGTTGCATCCTCATACTGAGGTAAATCAAGGCTTTAAATGTTGTACTGGAATAGCTGCCATTGCTCTGGGTGGAAAAGCCTTGCAGTGAAAGATGAGCTTCTATCTGCCAGGTTCCCAGACCTGCTCGAGTTACGCAAGACATGAGAATTTCCATTACTGCAGTTTAAATTGAGTGTCAGTCTATGCTCAGGTGACTTTACTATTTTACTAGCAGTTGCATTTAGATCTTGTACATGCAGGGAACTTGATTCTAGGGGCCATCTCAGCCTTTCTGCATGTCTAAGCCTAAATGTGAGTCCAGAAGCCTGTCTAAATGTCTGAGAATTTCTAAATGTATTTTATCTCACTATTAGTATTGTGGCTTTTGAGTCACCACTTCTAGGGTATCTAAGCATCTATGGCCAGTTCTCAAAGATGAGAACTAAGGTGCTCATCTTTGAGATGAGAACCTACAGGTACCTCTGATCTTCAGAAGGGCCATTCTATTGGTGTCAGTGATGCCAGGCTGCTTTGAAAAACTCTCTTGCTTGCACCTTTGTGCAGCTATATCCTTTTGAAGCTCTGCTTCTTTGAACTCAGTACTATTGCATGGTAAAAAAAAAAAAGGACTATTATATTGTCGGTTGTATATTTTTACCTATGGTGCTAGAGTTCTGAAACACAAACCAGCATAGTCCCACAGCAGTTCTCTGAGCACACATGCTGGAGAAAAAGCTCTGAGAGTGGAGGGGCTGTACCAAAAAGAGGGTAGGTACGTCAGAGTGCATCAGTGCTTGTAGTGCAGCACAATGCAGAGAGAAGAGCAGGCTCTGAAGGAATGAGTCCCTGCACAGAAGCTCTGAAGCCATGTCAGTGCAGCAAGCTGTCTGAGCTACTTAACCTGTGGAGATGCAGCAGTAATGAACTTCAGTGTGGCACCTGGTAGAACCTGGGCATTGCCCTTGGCAGGGCAATGCTGTGTGCTGAAAACATCCATCAACTCAGTCAGAGCAAGGGTGAGGATCTCCATGCAGTCCTCCTTTGTGTGGAGATAGTCCTGCCTTCCCAGGGTGAAATGTGGTGATACACCGTTCAAATGTAATACACTGACAGTTAATTCAAGTAAACCCATTTGATTCCTGGTGTCTGTTCCCTGAGAGTTACTTGAGCTGTATTTGAAACCAGCCTCAGTTACAAAACCCAAACTGAATTTCAAAGGACAGAATATCAGACACAGCTCTGCTGTACACCAGCCTTATGCTGGGGAAGGCAGTTGCTGCAGCCAGAGGGTCACTGATGAGAAACAAGTTCATCATAATTTCCATATAAGAGGTGAGGTTAAACTGGGTTATGCAGCAGAGACAACCCACTGTCTCCACTGATGCAGGGTTTTCTTAATTTATTCCACTGTCTATTAGTCTTATTCTAAAATGTTAAAATGAGCACTTATCTCCTAATCAACTTTATCCCTTCAGTATAGCCTCAGTCGATTTATCTCCACTCTGTGATTCTTACGAAATCTAAACAAAGCATTTGCATCAAGATCTAGCACAGCTCATGGGGAGGAAACTGTGAGTCAGTTTGTGCTCACTGCACAGCCAAACATATTAACGTAAAACATTAAAAATTTCTGATTTTTCTATTAATGCCTCTACTACTGAGTAAAGAAGAGTCCAAGCACTATGGTTCAGATGCTCATTTGTGTCATGATCCAACCTCCTCTTAAGGGGAAAATTCTCATAGAGGACAGAATGTTAAAATAGTCGCATGGACTAAAGTGGTGGATCCATGATGGATCTGAGCAGAACCTGGATGAGTTAACTCTAGAACTGGGGGCAGACCTGCACTGGCACCATGGCTCTCCCAGGCTAGTATCATACACTTCTGCTGCAGCAGTTTTCTTGCTCTGAGGACCCAAGCTGGTGATTGGTGCCATTAACGTAAAGCTCCTGGTATGGTGGGACTGCTTTGCACTCCAGTGCAGTACCTGGCACATCTAGAGCAAGCTTTTGAGCCACCAGCAAACACGTCTCACTTGTACCTGAATTCTAAGGCTGGGATAAATTCCAAGCTCAGCTTCATACTAAAAGATTTCCCTTGTTCTTGTACAAGTTTTCCAAGAGGAAGATATTGGTTCCACGGCTTGTCTTTTCAAGGAGCACTTCTGTGTCCCTAAAAACTTCTTAAAGCCACATTCTCTCTCTAGCTTGAACTGATTTTTCCCTGCTGTAATTCTCACTGTAGTTTATGCTTAGTTGTTTGTATTTATCAAGTTGTCTTTACAAATAAAACAGCTGGACACTATTTCTGAATAGAAACTGAGGGTTTCTTCTTTCCAGCCTTCCTTTCCACAAATCACATGTTTGGCTGTGAGGAGCCAGAGCCTGGCTCCACAAGTCCCTCACACTGATTCTCAGAAGCATTCATCACTTCTGCATCATATGCACAAATCCCAAGTGCTTTGGCAAAACCTTTCCTCTTTGTAAAGACATGTCAGAAAGTCCTTACTTTGTTATGAGTGTCCTTAGTGCTGCAAGCCTTATTCTGTAGTACTTCTATTGGCCTGATTCAAAAAAGCCATGTTGAACATTTCATGCTCTCTACATGCAAATATAGGATCTTAAGAGCTTAGATGGGATCCGGCCTTAGTGGGCCAACTTCTCATTCATTGTGCCATAACTCATTGCATGTCCCTGGCTCCCTGCAGGAGCTGCTGGTTTGTGTCTAATGAGTCATGCCCTGAGCACGGCCACCACTTCTAGTTACAAAACAGCCTATCTTTGACAAACAGATGAAAGCACCTTCCTCATTCATAATCATACTGGGGGTGAATCGAGACTTAACAACTTTTATTAAAGGAGGCATAAAGAAGAGGAGAAAAAAGCCAGCCATATAGATATGGGGACAGGAAACTTGCAGGACAAACTAGGGCTTACTTTTTCTTGATATGTGTAATACAATGTTATTTATTAATGGCTACACTTCAGAGCTGACTACAAAAATGTAATTCAGGATTCAGTTCTCAGTCAAGTTACATGTCAGCTGAGAAACAGTAACTGTCCTTGTGAGTTCTCTCAGCCCACAAGTAGATGGAAGGTCACACAACTCAGTCTTTCTCTGGGAGCTAAGCTAAGTCATGTCCCTCACCTTTGCCTGAGATCACATTGCACAGGGTTGCTGGAAATTACCTTGCCAGTTGTGTATCATTAAGCCACATAAATCTGACAGTAAATCTTCATCTTGAGTTTGTGTCACATTTGGGAAGGGATCTTCTTGTTCTCCACAGAATCTAGTACAATGAGGTCAGACTACAGAATGACATTGGTACTAACTTCACCCTAATTTTAGCTGTAAAGCTGGACGAGGTTTTTCCCCCAAGTATCTCCTAAGGTGCTGCACAATTTCTCCCCTAACTGATCCTGCTCTGCTTCACTCACAGGAGATGGAGAATTGTCATGGGAACATTCTGATGGAGACATTTTCCGGCAGCCAGCCAACAGGGAAGCTGTAAGTGTGACCTACAACTTAAAGACTTTTTTCCTGCTCTGCTGTGTGTGCCAATACATCAGGGAAAAAAGAGAAAAGGATGGTAATAGGTCTGAGTATCTACTGCTTCATCTTGGGTTCTGTGCATCTAGCCCAAAATAGGTTTCTTCCACTTCTGCAAATCCCTTACTAACTCAGACTGAATTCATGAATAAGGCTGAATTCTAAACTCCTGTGAGAGCTCCTGTGGGCTCTGCATTTGGCCTTTGTTCCATATGCTCTGCAAGAATAAAAGGGCACAGCATTTTGTTTGCTAGGCACTTCTGAGTCTTAATTGCAAACACTTCCCAGTAGACATATAGGCATGTATATATTTACTTCAGGGGCTTCACTGCCTCTGGGGCTAAGAGTATCCATTAACAACATACTCCTCAAGAGATTATTTTTAAAACAGCATTTGGAGAGAATATGAAGAGCTTTTATGCATTAGGTACACTGCTGAAATACATGAACCAACAGGTCTTTGGATGAGTAAGAAGAATCATGCCTTACAAAATAACTGCTGTAATACACACTGTTCCTTCATGCCCATGGGTATTTTGGAGAATAATTCTCTGAAAACAACCACTGTTTTTGCTCTAGAAAACATGCTGCACAGTGCTACTACTACTGCTACTACTCTCCTTTGCAAATAGAATGGGACTTCCCAGTCTGTAAGAGCCTTCTGCTCAGTCTGTGCAGGGATAACTCTGGCCTTGCATGAGACTTTGAAGCTACAGAGCAAACAAGAAGCTGGACAGTCATTCTGGATGTGCTCTGCCACTGAAACCCTAGTAGAAAGCAATTTTGATGAGGAAAACTACACAGGCTTACAATTCTCCTCATCTGATCTTAGAGTAGACATCAGTAAAGTAGATACCTAGCTCTGAACACCGTTTTAAATACATGGAGTGAAACAGCACTTCTGGCTTGTCATTCATCTCCTCATGATGTGGAGATCCACAAGAGTCAGGTTCTGAAATTGCCTCTCTGTTCATTGACTTGATGAGGGACTTCAGATGACCAACTTAGATAAAGACACCTACACTGACATGTACAGTCTGGGGAGATGAGCTACAATTAACTACATTACCACATTAACTATCTGTGAAACCAGAATGGCCTTTATTGAGTATGAGGCCATTAATTACATTTAATGAGGTTTGATGACAGTGGCGACACTTGTTGCCTGAGTTCAGCTTCTGGAACAGCCTCTTTCCCCGTGTCCATTGGAAGGAGACATTTACTTGCCTGCTCTCTTTCTGTCTCCGAACAGAGGCACTCATACCATCGCTCCCACTACGAGCTGTCGCCCAGCTCTGCGAGGCAGGTGGTCAACATCCCACGATTTCCCAGTGCCAGGAGTAACCGTGGGGTGCTGCCAGATCCCCAGCAAGCTTCAGGAACCATCGTACAGATCGTCATCAACAACAAGCACAAGCACGGACGAGGTAAAGACAAGTACTTCCTACAGGATTAGTCTGGGTCAGGCATCAAACAGCTATAGCTCAAAAAGACCTCTCAAAATATACAGCAGCATCTTGGAAACTCAGCTGGTATCAGGAGACACAATGCATACCAGGGAGGCAAAAAGCAATAAGCTATTAAGGCTCAGCAAATTTTTCTCAAGAAAGACAGCATCATTCATGACTTCCCCCACCTCAAGCTGGTTGTCTGTGGCACTGGGATGCCAGAGGTGCTTTTCCTCCTCCCTGACTAACACTAGAGGCAGAGCAGGCAATTAGCCTGTACTGGATCCCTGAGCTATGAGAGGCATAGTTAACCAAGGTCATGAATCTCACTCTAAGAATCCTGAAGTGCCTACTGATAGGTTGGATATTAGGAAAAAAATTCTTCACTGAAAGGGTGTCAAGCCCTGGCCCAGGGTGCCCAGGGCCGTGGTTGACTCACCATCCCTGGATGCGTTTGAAAGATGTTCAGATGTGGTGCTGAGGACATGGTTTAGTGGTGGACTTGGCAGTGTTAGGTTAATGGTTGGACTTGATGACCTCAAAACTCTTTTCCAACCAAAACGATTCTATGATTCTATGAATATATTATAGGACACATTACATTATGGGGACAGCAGAATTTTGAGGCCATATGGCAAACCTTGTCCAAACACAACTAAACCAT